GTTCACATATGTATTTGCGCATCATTTACCGCACCGACTCCTAACAGCCCATTTTTAAACACATTATTTAAATTTAAGGACTCCTTGTTACTTTAAGTCTATTTTTATAATTTTGTACGTTTTTAAGACGTCCTTAAAACGTCATAAAAAGATCTAAAATAGTTATAAATTCACGTCTTTTTAACGTCTTAAAATGTCGTCATCGGTCCGGGACATTAGTACGTTTTTTTCTCGTCATTTTAACGTCATTTCATTGGTCATTTTTGGTCATTCTCTGACCAAATTTTGACGTTATTTTGACGTGTGGATGTTAGCTGGGTTACATACAATATTAACAGATTGAACTACACAAATATCGTCTCGCTTTGGAAAATAAAATAAATAATTTTCTTCCTTTTTCATAAATTTAATTTTATATTTACTCTCCTTTGAAGAAATTATAACTCCTATGTAATAAATAAATGACTTTTTAGTTTCAAAAGTTTTTAATACATAATCATTTAGCTGTTAGCTCAATCTTAACAAAAGATTTGATATATTTTAAAACTGTTTTGTGGAATTTCAATTCCAGTTTTGATTTATTCTGTACAAAACCGTTGGTAATAGTACATACATAATTTCTTAAACTTATGTATCCATGGCTCTCTACTAATACAGGTTTTACACAGGTTTTCCTTCGATATCATAATTATACCACGAACACAATACTTCTACTTTATTTGATTCATTGATAATTGCACATTCTTTGGAAAATTTTTTGGATTTTCCACTTTTATTTTAAAGATAAGAAAAACTTAAAATTAAATCCAAGAGTTTTAATTTGTTTTCAGTCTGTCGAAATAGGCACTATTCACCGACAGTTACATCATCACAAGTTTTGCAAGATGGTGTCAATAGATTCGATCTTAAAGATTTTGGTTTGGAGGAAAATTCTTTTTCTATTACACGCTGTAAACGATTACTACTAAGACGATAATAATTTTTAATAAGAAACCAACAGATAGACGATTTTCTAACAACTATTTCTTTACCACGCGCATCTGCAACAATGGTAAATAGACTTGTTTTACATAATGCAAGGGTTGTTTCACCATAATTTTTCATATTAAGACAACCATCAGACACGCATGATAAAGTGAACACATCTTCAACGATATCTCGAGGAATATCTTCTACTGGAAATTCGTCATCTGCTAGTTCTATATTTCTACAATAAGAAGCTTGAGTAAAAGCTGATAAAACCGTACTATTTTCTCTAGTCGTCTACATTGTCATACAAATTATTGTTTTCATCATCTTCGGAGTCATCAACTCTTGTATCAACTACTAAAGGTAAATTTAGTTCTCCCGGCTAATGATCAAACTTGTGAGCATCACTGATTGCTTCTTTCCTAGCTTCTTCGATAGCTACGTAAATCTCGTCATTAATTGGTAAATTAGTCTGAATCTGTACTGATTTTACTTTATGTTTTAATCTCGGAAAATTAACATTTTTACTTAATTTGCTGGCTAAAATATCGCTTTGTAATTGTATTTTCTTAATTCTGTGTATGACATCAAGTAAACTACAATTTACAATAGTCGAGTAAGTAGTAGACATAGATCTAATTTGTCGAAAAAATGCCTCACAGGGTTGACTGCTAAACAATGGCGGCATGAACATATATGGCATATTGCAATCTCTTAACTTTTGTATTATATTTATCATACTATGTGCATTGATTTCAATACAAGCATAACAATTTAAATTTAAAAAGTTGTCTGTTAAAGTATACTTTCGATTACTTTTTATCCAGTTGCACCATATTCGTTGTTCGAGAGCGCTGAAGGGACTACAGATTCGCGGAGTAGACGTTGAATTCGAGAAGCGACTTTTCTTTAAACTTCACTTTATTTAGACAAATTTACAAAAATGTAGAACACACAGGTTTACAAAGAAAATAGCGCGAAGTGAACAGAGCGGTCAGAGTTAAACTCTTTAGCGGTTATAAGCGGTGCGACACGTTGCGCGCGAGAGGGTTGCTAGCTAAGCTGGGGCAACGCTGCGCCGGCCGGCCCTTTTTATAGGCGGTCGAACACGTCATCTCGCGCGCGAAAAATATTTGTTGGTGGCGTGAGCAATGGTCAGCCGATCAGCTTGTTTGTGCATGACATGGGCTATCGCTGACAGATGTCGTGACAAACAAGAACAAAATGGCCTTGTTGGCGCGGCCGTTATTCTCAAGGCTGCTTGGGAAGCCCATGTCATGCACAATTATTTTACTTTAATTGCGGCAATAAGTCGCGCTTTCCAACATTCCCGCCCGCCTCGTCAGTTCGCTGACAAAAGAGATTTGACACCGTTCCGTCGATGTCGCGAGTCGCGGTATCGAGAACTCTTCGAGAGTGATTAATCGATAGGGCGGTCGATAACAATCAATGGCTCATGGCCGCGTGTGAATGCGCGCACATTGTATGCCATCACCCGCGCCGAGTGTCATGAAATTTTTGGACGGTGTTTTAGACCACTCGTGTGCCTTCTTTCTGGTATACATGATGGATGATATGCGTCGAGTGAAGAGGAGTGGACGGAAAAGTGAAAGGTACTGTGGTTTCGGTGAATTTTCGCGAAGTGATGCAGTGATTACAAAGGGGGAAAAGGAGAGGAAATTATGCGGAAAAGATGAGAAGGTGATGCGTTCGTTCACGTATCCCCGGGCGACACAATGTCGTCGGGAGAAAACAATATCAATTTAACGAGCGGCCGGACGAGCTCGGAGGAGGTGGTGCGGACAGTCACCACGCGGGTCACGTCGTCCTCTCCTGGGTGCAGCTCGGTGATCCGACCCAGAGGCCATCGCGTTGGCGGCATGTTCTCTGAACGGATGATGCAGAGAGATCCGACGTGTGGTTGGATGCTCGGTCGAGTCCATTTCGGCCGAGTTGCCAGAGCGTGAATGTATTCGCGCGACCACCTTTGCCAAAAGTGATCGCGCATCTTTTGGAGATGCTGCCACCGGGAGAGGGAGCTGTCCGTTCTCTCAATTAGTTGCGACTCCGGGATGGCCAGCAGTGGTGCGCCGATAAGCAGGTGTCCTGGCGTCAGAGCGGAGAGATCATCAGGATCGTCGGAGAGAGCCCGCAGTGGTCGGGAGTTGAGGCACGCCTCTATCTGAGCAAGGAGAGTGCTCATCTCCTCAAACGTGAGCTTGGTGTCGCCGATGACTCGCCGGAAGTGATATTTGGTGGATTTCACCGCCGCTTCCCAGAGACCCCCAAAATGAGGTGCGGATGGTGGGTTGAAATGCCACCGGATTCCTTGTTTTGCGGCGGTGGAGGCTATGCGGCGACCATCGGGCGATGAAGCGCGCAGCATTTCCCTCAGCTGCTTGTCAGCTCCAACAAAATTTGTTCCGTAGTCGGAAAAGATATCCGAACAGAGGCCTCGGCGGGAAGTAAAGCGGCGGAGAGCGGCTAGGAACGCCTCCGTCGTGTAGTCGGAGACGGCTTCGATGTGCACTGCTTTGGTGCAGAGACACACAAAGATTGCAATGAATGCCTTGTATGCTCGGTGCCCTCGCCCTTTGGATGTGCGGACGAGGATGGGCCCTGCGTAATCGAGGCCGGTTCGCAGGAACGGTCGTGCAGGGGTTACTCTCACCTTAGGAAGATCGCCCATTGGAGGCTGCGGCGTGACGGCTTTCCAGCGCGTGCATGTGGCGCATCGATGTAGCCACCTTTTTACGGTTGCCCGACCTTTTGGTATCCAGAAGCGGAGCCGAAGCATCCCCATTGTCAGTTGGACTCCTCCGTAAAGAGTGCGGCGATGGCATGACTCCACTAGCAATCGCGTGAGCCATGAAAGTGGAGGCACTATCATTGGGTGCCGTTCGTCGACCGAAAGCACCGCGTGCTTGAGGCGGCCCCCAACCCTGAGCACTCCGTTTCCGTCCATGAAAGGGCTCAGTGTTCTTAGCTGGCTCTGGTGAGGAAGTGTGCTGTTGCCTGTAACAGAAGAAATCTCTGCGGGATAGTGCAGAGACTGCACCACGTGAAGCCACCGAAACAGCGCCCGATCGAGCTCGTCGGGGCTCAAAACCGACCTGGGCGTCTTGGAGATGGTGCCCTTATCTCGCGGGCGTCGCCAGCGAAGGCACCAGGCGGTGACTTTCAGGAGCCGATGTAGCGACGAGAATCTGAGGAGATGCTCAGGTTCTGTGATTTTTGAAGCGGTGGTGGTGAGGGCGGAGGCTCTCTGCTCGGGCAGTTCCTCAGTGGCGATTTTGATGTCCGTTTTTGGCCAGTCCGCCGAAGTCTTTCGAAGCCAGGCGGGTCCCGACCACCAGAGCGGGTGACCTACAAGGTCGCTGGGCGAGATTCCCCTGGACGCGCAGTCGGCTGGATTTTCCTTTCCCGGGACGTGACGCCACTGCGCATCGGGAAGCAGTTCTTGGATGTTGGATACGCGGTTGGCCATATATGTTTTCCACCGAGAAGCGTGACCCAGGATCCAGTGTAGCGTGACCTTGGAATCTGACCACATTGTGATGGGTGCTGCAGACAGACTGAGAACATTTCGAGTATGTTTCATTAGACTTGTGAGCAGAGCGGCGGCGCAAAGCTCCAGTCGCGGCAGCGAGATCGGCTTGATTGGTGCGACCTTGCTCTGCCGCCAACAAGTGAATTTTAATCTCGTCGCCTTTGGTGATTCGGAGATAGACTGCGGCGGCGTATCCTCGTTCGGACGCGTCGGCGAAGCCGTGCAATTCAACTTGTGTGTGTTCAACGCCGCTGTCCAACCATCGGTTGATTCGCAACTGTTCGAGCTGTGGGAGCTCCTCAAAGAGGAGTCTCCATTGCTTTTCGTCTGTTTGAGGGAGCGGAGCATCCCATTCAAGCTTTTGAAGCCAGGCGGATTGGATCCATATCTTTGCCCTGACTGTAACTGGAGTGATCCATCCGAGCGGATCAAAGAGACGAGCTGTTTCCGCAAGAACGCGTCTCTTCGTGTACGCGGTGATAGTGCGCGGCGGAATCGAGAACGTGAACACGTCGTCGTTTGGATGCCAGTGCAACCCCAGTGTTGAGTGACTTTCGTGCGTCCATTGGTGCGGTTCCTTAGTGAGGCAGTGTTCCGGCGGGATCCCTGCTAGTGCTTCGCGGCAGTTCGCGGCCCATTTTCGTAAGGGAAACCCGCCCGCCGTGCATAGTTGCCGTAGTTCCGCTTGTAGTGCAATCGCGTCCGGCAGTGAATTTGCTCCCGTAACGATGTCGTCAACGTAGCAATCGCGGCGCAACGCGGCGGACCCGCGCGGGAAGCTTAGTTCTTCATCGTCGGCGAGTTGGCGAAGAGTGCGGATAGCGAGAAAGGGCGCACACGCGAGCCCGTAGGTCACCGTATTTAACCGATATTTGCGAATTGGATCGGAGGGTGAGTGTCGCCAAAGAATTCGCTGATAGTCACGGTGGCGAGGGAAGACGAGGATCTGGCGGTACATTTTTTCAATGTCCGTCACGAGTGCGTACTGATACCATCGCCACCGCTGTAGCAAGTCAGCGAGCGCCGGCAATAAATTTGCTCCGATGAGCAAGTGGGAGTTGAGGGACTCACCAAATCGTGTGCGTTGAGAGCCGTTAAAGACCACTCTGAGTTTTGTGGTGACGCTTGACTCTCGGAGCACTCCATGGTGTGGTAAGTAGCAGCTTGTAGCGGAAGAAGCTGAGGCGGGTGCAAGGTCCATGTGATGTAGATCCTCATATTCTCGCATAAAGGCGTGGTACAGCTCCCCGAATCGAGTGTCGAGAGAGCTCTTGCGAGCCATGGCAGAGAGTAGACGTTCTGCTGCCTTGCGAGTGTCAGCAAGAGTCGTCGGCGGTGAGCGGAACGGCAACTGAACCATGTAGCGTCCGGAAGCTGTGCGCTCGTGGGTCTGCATGAAGATATTCTCACACAGCTGTTCGTCTGCAGTGAGAGCGGTGGGACAAGAGACCTCCTTCTCCTGTTCCCAGAAGAGACGGACCACGGCGGCCAGCTCTTCGTCGGCCGTGCAGTGGTAGCTGCGTGTGACCGGTGCGGACTGCGTGTCGTCGCAGCCTCCGGAGAGGATCCATCCGAGGAGAGTATTCTGAGCGACAGGCGTCTGAGGATCTCCTTTGCGTAGGTCCTCCAGAAGTATGATAGACCATGCTTCCGCTCCGAGAAGCAGCTCGATTGGATCGTTAGCCGTGAAGTGCGGATCGGCCAGTTGGAGTCCTTCCACATGCGGCCAGAGCGTGATGTTGCGCGTCGTCCTCGCCCCTTGGTAGAGCGAGAGACGGGGGAGAACGAATGCGACTATGTTGAACGTGGCCCCGTTCACCAGAGAGGTAAGATGAAGAGTCACCTTTCCCCTGCATGATCCAGAGCGAGTTCCTCCGATGCCCGAGATAGCGAGTGAGGATCGAGATCGCGTCAAGCGCAGGCGTTGGACTAGCGCTTCAGAGATCAACGACACCTCTGATCCCTGGTCAATCAGAGCGCGAGCGGCATGTGACTCTCCGTGATGGTCGGCGATGGATACCCTCGCGGTCGCGAGAAGGGTAGCCTTGCGGTCGTCGTCGTGACGTGCTGCGGACAATGTACTTGCTTCGGCTGGGTTCTGCTTGACGTAAGCTTCGTGGAGCATGGTGTCGAGCTTTACACAGGAGGCACGTCCTCACGGATTGACACTTTGCTAGTGCGTGTGTGCCCAGGCAATTCTGACATCGTCGGTGGGTTTCTACAACAGTCTTGCGTTCGGCGGCGGATTTTTCCTTAAACTTATCGCACATCATTAGGTTGTGCTTATCCTTGCACAGAATGCACGCTGCCACGTCGGAGCGTTTGGTGAAGTGTGACTTCGCGGTTCGCGGCGAGTCGGTTCGCGGCGAGTCTCCGGGGACTTTCGTAAGCTTTGGTTTCGCGGCGTTGAGTGTCAATGTCCGTTTGGTGATGAAATCTATCAAGGCGTCGTAATCAGGTGGATCTGTCGAATCGCTTGAATGCGATTCCCACTCGAGGCGGGTTTTCGGATCGAAGAGCTGTACAACAAGGTGGTTGAAGAGATCGAGGCCGTGGAAGTGAATAGGCCTTCCGATGCTCTTTTGGCCGTTCACGGCGCTGGTAGCAGCGTTGTAAATTCGACTGAGTTCGTCGGCGGTATCGCTCTTCATCTTCGCCACGGCGGTGAACGTGGAGAAGTTGGAGCGCGCGAGTTCTCTTTTATTTTCATAATGTTTGCTTAACAGTGCCCAGGCACGCGGAAAATTGTCACCAGTAACAGCTAATGGACGTATCAACTTTTCAGCGGGCCCTTCTAAACAGTATTTTAGGTGGTGAAATTTTTTGACGTTTGAGATTGCTGGATTGTCCCCGACGATGGACAAGAAAATGTCGCGGAACGATGGCCAGTCTTCAAACTTGCCCGAGAACGATCGAATTTTTAGGCGGGGCAGAGACGTTTTGGAGGTGACCTCATGCCCTGGTTCCCTCGGGAGCGAGGGGTTCGGCGTAGTAGCGGCGAAGCTCTTTGCATATTCACGGAGCTCGCTCCGTTGCAGTACGTAAGTGTTCTCTGCGGTATCAAAGAGTTGACTCTCATTGTACTCACTTTTCTCAAAATCTTCATTGTAGAAGTCTCGTATGAGCTCGTGTTGAGTCTCAAATTTCGCCCAGTACTGGTCGAGCAAGGTCAAGCGAGTCTCCACAGCGGTGGGCGTGATTTTGTCCATCTTCTTCAAATTGATTACTGACCGCGAGATACGACCATGGATGTCCTTTTGCGCGGTCAGCATGGATTCAACGTCGAAGCTCATGATGTATTTGTGTGTCCCTCTTTTTTTCAGCTCACGAAGAGTCGAAGCGCGGAGGAAGCACTCCCGGTTCGCGGTTGCTGGTGTAAGGATCCGGCTCGAAGGACCAATAAATGTTCGAGAGCGCTGAAGGGACTACAGATTCGCGGAGTAGACGTTGAATTCGAAAAGCGACTTTTCTTTAAACTTCACTTTATTTAGACAAATTTACAAAAATGTAGAACACACAGGTTTACAAAGAAAATAGCGCGAAGTGAACAGAGCGGTCAGAGTTAAACTCTTTAGCGGTTATAAGCGGTGCGACACGTTGCGCGCGAGAGGGTTGCTAGCTAAGCTGGGGCAACGCTGCGCCGGCCGGCCCTTTTTATAGGCGGTCGAACACGTCATCTCGCGCGCGAAAAATATTTGTTGGTGGCGTGAGCAATGGTCAGCCGATCAGCTTGTTTGTGCATGACATGGGCTATCGCTGACAGATGTCGTGACAAACAAGAACAAAATGGCCTTGTTGGCGCGGCCGTTATTCTCAAGGCTGCTTGGGAAGCCCATGTCATGCACAATTATTTTACTTTAATTGCGGCAATAAGTCGCGCTTTCCAACATTCGTATTATGAACACACAATTTAGAAAGCCTTTCCAAAGGTGTTAAATAAAGATCGGTATAAAACAGTATTATATAATTTAATAATTTTAAATATAGCACGGTATCCTCAGAATCAGGGATATGATTAAGTAACAATTTTCGAACGCATTCTTGTTAGCAGATTTAAAATTCATTTTATCCTTAGGTTCAATATCGGACAATGATAACAAATGCTTGTTCTTAGACATAATATTAATCAGTATTTTTAAATGACTTATAGAAATAAGTTTGTTCCCGAACGGTAACAAAATAGAAGGTTTCAATAACCTATTTCTAAGTTTTGTAGCTGTGTGTATGGTATCTTGTACAAAACCATTGTCAGTATATATGTATAGCATTGAACTAATTTGACGTCAAAGTCGAATTTGAGGTATCGCGCATCTGTGAAATTCCCAAATGTATTTCCGCGCGCATTGCTTTTAATAAACGAGAGTCTCCATCTGACGAAAATCCCAGTACATTTATTCCAAATTTAGCTAGTTCTTTAAGAATGAATTTCCAGCGTGTAGTGACATTCTGTGAGGTAAATTTATTATCAGTACCAAATAATGAAAAACAAAATGGACTAGTATGTTCTTCGATGGGTTGTGCCATAATAACATAAACTAATGAGGCAGTTTTTCCTTCATTAAAGTGATGTTCAATTTTCTTAGCTGATCTGGTCGGAAATGAATATGATATAGGTATTACATGCTTATTAAACGGTGAAACTAGTCCTATTAACTGATTTGTTGAGGGATCAAATTGAATTTTACCAGTTAGTCTTGTAGTATCCTCCGAGATCCATACATTTAATTTTTGAAAATTGCAATTTAACATTACTTTAATTTAGATTATTACTTTGTTAATATTAAAATAAAGATCTCAATATGCTTATTTATTAAAATTAAACACGTTAAACATTGTAGCAAAATTTCTCTTTTGATTTTAATAATTATCTTGATAATTATTCTCGTAATCTATATTAGTCGAATTTTAAATATTTTATTTATTTGCGTTTATTTGTGTAATTTTAATAATTAATTAAGTATTATTATACCAATGATGTATACCTATTTACATAAATTAGATATATATTTGATTTAAATTATTACTTTATTTTGATTTTTCAACCATGCCTTTACTAATTGTAAGCCATAAAGATTGTCATGTTCAGTGTTAATGTTCAAATTAATGTCAACGATAGTGTCTGACAATGAATTTGACTCGGGATTTGATGTAGTAGTGGCATGCTGCAAGGAGCTCGGCGAGGAGACTTTTGAAATTCATTTGTCACTCGACTTGCACAGATTTTTCGGTTCTGATTTGTAGTGAAATTCATGCTTTTTGTTAATTTCGAGTGTTGACAGTTAGATTTTTCAAGTCTTAACTAAGGTCTTAACTCAGGCGTAAAATACATTTTATCCGAGGAGAGCTTATTAGCAACAAATTTCTGTATTTCACCGAGTAGTACCTTATGTCCAGTAAGAATGCGGAATTCACTGGGACAAATATAATATTTGTCGAAATAGTCGCTGTGTTTCTTGCCCTTTTTTATAAACTTAAGCATTTCTTTTCTACCAAAAAGCTCCAGTTTTTCAATATTATCTACCGACATCTTCTGTATAGCGAGGGTTGTATCATATCCTTCAAGACGCATAATATTTTTTAAGTATACGGGAACTTTCAGCTCCATTCCTGTCTCTATAATATGCCACATTGACTACAGCCGTGGCAATTTGACCTTCCTGCATCTCGGTTTGAGTTGCAACATTAACGTAGATTTTTTTTATCATTTTATCATCCTCGTTGCCTCGCTCGTCGCGGTTCACTCGATCATTTTCGTCGCCTTCCATCATTTGATTAGAAAACATCTATTTATACCACGATCCTGCAGTGTTGATCCGTGCACACCAAGGTTCACACTTTCATGTCTTTCAATGTGCAGCCGTCTTAACTGTTTATGCAGGTTAGTGATATCAGAAACTGTCACCAGTAGCATGAGTAGGTTAACACACAAGCCCGACTGCGTACATGGACGAATATACGTGCGTTCTGTGCAAGCACTGCGCAAGCACTGAGCACCAATGAGATATTATTAACGACAGCCAATCAAAAGCAAATTTTCGTGATTGTCAAGGGCCCGGAGATATTAAAGAACAATGATATTACTATTTTGGCAACCGAGGATAACAAGCACGATCGTTTTACGTGATTAAATTACTATTTTATTATCGACAGTGGAAAGTTCATATGTTATTTTTTAATTTTTGCAACGATTGCTAGCGTAAACATGTCTTTAGAATTATTTACATTGATTTCATGGTGATCACAAATGATTTCATCACAGATTTTATAGTGATTACACATGATTTCATCACAGATTTCATGGTGATTACACATGATTTCCAGTGATTACATATGATTTTATTATGATTTTTGGTGATTTCACATGATTTTATCTGACTTCATGATTGAATCTGATTGCAAAACGATTACATGGGGATTTCGTAATGATTTTATAATGATTTTGGAGACATTGTCCCACGATTACATCAAGTGGTTACCCTCTCGGGGCGTAAGCGCTGTGTCGAGTAGAGTCGCGAGCCTTACAGGTTCCGCAAATTGGAGAGTGCACCGCCCGCTCGATCGTGCTAGAATAAAGTAATTACAATTGTCATCTTGCATTCGCCTTCACACGGCCGAGTCATCGCGTAGTATTGTTCGTACCGTAATTGTAAGTCACGAGAGCGTGCGCGCCCATGTCCCGTGCGTCACGCGAATACACTGCGAAGATACTCGCCCAATGTATCAACCGCCCTGCAAGAAATAAATGTTATTTTCTTTGTTACAAGTGGTGGAGCCATTCTTTACTCTTCTCACCGCTCTCCTAAGCCTAGAGTAATCGCCTCTCACGAACCGCCCTTCTATCATTGTCGGAGCTGGTTAGCCGGCCTTCCGTGCCGTCGTTGTTCGCACCATCCGGACCTTTCGCGAAAATCTGAGTTACTTCGAGCTATCGAGCTGTCAGTCGGGGATCGGAGATAGCACTTAAATATTATATAAAAGTGGTTTGCTCACGCGGGCCTGGCGCCCAAACCCCGCTTACATCAGCGGGGACAATTATTATAAGATTTGTAAAATACTTGTATCTCCGATCGCAACGTGAAATTCTGCTCGATCCGGACGTGCGAACTCACGACTGTATTGCCTCGCAACTACGCGTGCGGTCGCAATACTTATATCTTGATATATCTCTATTAATATTTAAAAATAAATTTCTTTTTTAGCATTATTAAATCCATTAATGCTGTTTTATTTTATTCTATTTTATTTTTTCAAATCCTTGGTTACTATACCAGGGTATAACATACTCATTATAAGTGAGTAATTTAACATTACATGTAAGACTTATAAGTCTGCGCCCTGAAAACGTTATACTTACTTTCTGAAAACGTTTGACTTTAAATAAATTTCAGTTTTTGTTTATTTGTATGTATTTAAAATGAATAATATAACTTTGGTAAATATTGATAACAACGGATCCAGCCTCAATGACCTTGACCTTCTCAAGAACATAACCCTAAGTGACTATCAAGACGTTTTAGCTGTCGCTAATCCTTTGTTAAAAAGTTATTAACAGAAAAAGTTATAAAAATTTATGGTAATCATTCACTTTAGGGGACCTCACTTCGCATAAAAGTTGTAAAAAGAATAAAATAGAATATTTATTCCTTTAGCGTATGTATAGCCAAAAAGGGAACTTGGTTATATTTCAATCTTATCATTCATCCATCCATACCTTGTACTTATCTATATCTTCTTATCCTATCCTTATAAATATTTAAATATCTACAATGTCTACAACAGTGCTCGGCATTATCTGCACATTTCGGGCCGATTCCTGAGGCGACCCTCCCACTACCGCTCAAAATTTGGCGTGCGCCCGCTTGAGTGGCTCGGCCGCCGAGTCTTGAGCGGTAGTGGGGGGTCGCCTCAGGAATCGGCCCGAAATGTGGAGCTAATGCCGAGCACTGGTCTACAATATCACAGCGCTTCTACAATCAATTTGCTCGACTTTCTCGACATATCAAGCTCACAGCCTTCTTACAGCCTTCTTTCAGAATTCTTCTTTCTTATTTACACATTCTCCTTGTCTTTCCTACCTTAATCTTTACCTTTACATTTGCTATTGCCTTTATCTTTATCTTTTATTTCTACCTTTACAAAAATCTTTCTTACAATTTCCCTTACGATACATTACATTACATTACTTACACTACATTACTTATACTATATTACTTATACTATATTACAATACCTTACACGACATTTACATTACCTTACATTACCTTACATTACATTATTTATTTCACCATTTTGT